GGGCTACATAGCCCATACATAGGTACGTGACGGCGAGCTACCCCCCAAGTCGGGGGGTTTCATACAGTATCTAGATGAGCACAGTCTCACCTTACCGTCGCGCAGTGCCCACAACGGTACAATACATAGCGCTCGACATGTACGTACATGTAATATATACCTACGTAGGTGGTTGACAATTGCTATTAGCTAACCTAGATAGCTTACCATCCAAGTACGGAACTACCTCACCCTCGCTAATCCTTCCTGGGTGCCGATTCCCGACTGAATTTGAGATAATCTCGCCTACTCCGAGAAGCAGTGAGAAGTAGACGCATTAGCGGTTGACCTAATACAATCTGACACAACAACCAGACATGTCAGCAGCACAGCAACAAGACCTGCTCGAGCCTTGTCGAAACATTCTTCGACAATGAAATTCCACAATGGTGAGTGGAGGAGGCGGGACTAAGGTGGATCAGCGATGTGTGGACAGGGTGGACAGCGCTCCCCCGGCCAAGCTGGTCAGGGGTCTAGTTGGAGGTTGCAATGTTCCACGATTTGATTCCTTGGGACCCGTAATCCATGATCGGTCGACCATTAAGTCGACCATTGGGATTGTACTGAGATAGTACTGTACGACTTCAGGCCAACCCCTTGCGCGCAACAGCTGCTTCTCAGACGAATGCAGACGAATGTGCGTAGAGCAAATGTTTTTGATTGACCATTCATTCCATTCATGTGGATGATGATCATTTCAGACCCGAGCGTCGTCACATCTCAGGATGCTGGGGGGGGGGGGGTCAAGCGGTTCTAATAGTTGTACCTACCTAGGTATTGTACAATACGTACGTACTTCAATATTAGGTACCTATCATAATCGTATTATTGTATCATGCCTTTTTTTTCCTTTTCATATTTCTAACTACCTGTTTTTTACTGTCTTGGTTTGTCTTTATTATCTATTGTTAACCGCCATACAACCCCGTTTTATATTCTAGTTAATTCGAAACTACGCCAACGTTCCCCGGCACCCACCTGACACTTTTTTTTTTTTTTTTTTTTTCAATAGCAGTCTTACGGGGGGGCAGCTTCCAGTCTATGTCCTACTAGGCTCGGGCCGGCCTTGATAAACTTAGAGACTTCCTTCCAATATTCGTTGTGTTTAGCGGGTAAACCCCCACTAGCCACCTTTTCGATACTTCGATACTTTGATACTTCGATATTGAACTTATCCTTCTGTACCTCTTTGCCTTAAACTTGCTTGTTACAAAATCTTTTATATCTGCTGCCCACGCATCCATCCACGCATTCGCTCAGCGCATGCGCGTAGGCAACTATTGGTCCCGGTTAACACACATACAGAAGATAGTACACAGAAGATAGTACACATAATACGACAACTATCTCTCTGCGTACATCCGACTGGTAACTAAATATCAACTACGGATTAGCAACTCGCAAGTCACCAGTCACCGGTCACCAGTCACCAGTCGCATTAACCCAACTTGACCCATTTCACGTCAATTCGCTTGTTGATTGCTCAGTCGTCGTTTATCGCCCAATCTACGGCAATTTGGCGCTGAGGACCTAGTATCGACATGGTATTGGCATGAGAACCCGCATCAAGATCCCTGTAACCGAGTCTTGTTTCTGGTTCATCCGCCCCGTCTTTTTTATCATTACCAAAAGCCACCACCACTCAAAACCGCATCAAACCCCCAGGTCTTAGCGGGACAAGCCAAGCTTCACCAACGACAACTCAAAGATTCGGGTCTAATAAACTACCTAGGTACCTATCTACCTACCTACCTACCTACCTACCTACCTACCTACCTACCTACCTACCTACCTACCTACCTACCTACCTACCTTAGGTCCTTGTCGTCCAACGTCTAGCCAAGTCTTTCTCCGCTTCCTCGAGAGGAAACTAGACGAGAACAGCTATCTACATACTAGGTTACATACCTAACATACCTAACATTATTCTACTTATACTACCTGACTACCCATACGACCACATAAACCTGGACTGCTGGACATCCAACATTTGTACAGGGGTTTAATTTCAACTACGCGCGGCACACAAGCAAACCACCTCCTCCACACTCCTTGGTTCTCCCCCACGAACCCGTCAACGATTCGATTTTGACATTTTCATTCTTGTCAAGTCCAACTTTTGATTGCTCTAAAAATTCTTTCATTTACTTGATAAGATTCCGAATAGTTATAACTATAATTCTTTCTTTTATAAAACAGTGCCACCAACGGATTTGGCAATACGTCACTCGAATATATTATCTGCGGCGCTGTGTGACCTCGTTAGAGCACATCCTGGACATATCTGGACATACCTGGACGAGTCGTCTTGACGGACTGTTACATACAGCCAGCTTCGGCCCTTTTATTTCTTCTTTGTACTCGATCAGCCCGACCGCCTCCTCGGCAAACTACACCACGAACACGCACTCACCCACAGGCTTGCTGCGCAATCTGTGGTTTGAATACCGACCTACCACAAAATGCCCGATCACGAGAATCCTCAGGCTTCTGAGCCCGTAATCCAAAATGTAATTGTGCTCTCCCCTCTTAGCTTCTCCCTCATTAGCTTTATTTTCTTTGTATCAATACGTCCGTCCTCTTGTTTCCACCTACTTCCAGCAAGCTTCCCCGCTCGTGTGCCTGCGATGCTAACGTACTTTTATCATGAAGGTTTCAACCGTAGCAACTCTCGACGCTGCTGTCAGCACCCCTCCGCCTGCCCCGACATCTATTCCCATCATGTCGTCCTCCCCTGCTCCTCTTCGACCCGCGCTCGGAGTCGGCAGGTCGAGTGGCGGACGCACACCGAGATTAGGCCTAGCTATCCCACCATCTCCCAATGTTAAGCCGGTAGGCGCCGCAGGCGGTCCATCGCGGCCCCAACTCACAGTACATGTCGCTACTCCGATGGGTAGCACTGTCGCACCATATGAACAACATCGTCCTACAATTCAGCCGGGACAATCTGCGAGCGGCGGTAGCGAAAGCAGCGCGGCGCACTCACGATCCGGTAGTTTTGGTCCTCTCGACGGAAGAGCTAGCAACCCTACATCCGCAGGTTCCCAATTCTCCGCCCTATCATTTGCGTCACAATATGGTATTGGTTCGAGACCGCAGGGTACTCCGGACCCCATATCTGCTGTCGGTTCTATCTACTCCGAGAGAAGCGAGGGGGGCATCGGCATGGAGCGAGATAACAGCACGCAGGGTCTCGAGGATAGCTTCGATAAGCTAACTTTGGAGAAAGCAAGAACTGCCGATGTAGATGAGCTTGATGATAATGGCTGGAGAATCGCGAGCGCAGAAAGCAGAATTGTTGAGTTAGGCAGTCTAGGTGAGGGCGCTGGCGGTGCTGTCACACGATGTAAGCTGAAGGGTGGAAAGACGGTATTTGCATTGAAGGTATGTCCCCTACTTTTTAGTTCCCTATTTTAACACGAGCGCGCATAGGTGCTAATATGCTTCTTAGGTCATCACTACAAATCCAGACCCGGATGTTAAGAAGCAGATCTTCCGTGAAATCAACTTCAATAAGGAATGCGCATCAGAGCACATCTGCCGATACTATGGTGTTTTCGGCGACCCTGCTACAGCCACTATCTCTATCGCCATGGAGTTTTGCGAGGGCGGATCCCTCGACAGCATCTACAAGGAAGTAAAGCGACTTGGTGGCCGAACGGGCGAAAAGGTCTTAGGGAAGATTGCCGAAGGCGTCCTCCGAGGTTTGACTTATCTCCACAGCAAAAAGATTATCCACCGAGATATCAAACCATCGAATATTCTGCTTTGCCGCAACGGCGAAGTCAAGTTGTGCGACTTTGGCGTTTCCGGCGACTTTGGAACCAAGGGTGAAGCTAATACCTTCATCGGTACGAGCTACTACATGGCACCGGAGCGTATTACTGGTCAAAGTTACACTATCACGTCAGACGTTTGGTCGACCGGAGTAACGCTCCTCGAGGTGGCCCAGCACCGATTCCCCTTCCCAGCTGACGGAACTGAGATGCAACCCAAGGCAGGATTGATCGATCTGTTAACCTACATCGTCCGACAGCCGATACCAAAACTAAAGGACGAGCCGGATGCCAACATATTCTGGAGTGATAGCTTCAAGTATTTCATCGAGTGCTGGTAAGTCATCCAAATCTGTTATCATTAAGAAGAACATTTATGTCTAACGAATGAATAGTCTCGAGAAAGAACCAAACCGTCGGGCAAGCCCATGGAGGATGCTTGAGCACCCTTGGATGGTGGAGATGCGGACAAAGAGAGTCAACATGGAGAGATATCTGTCCCAGGTCTGGGGATGGGATGAGGAGACGAAATCCTAAACTAAAAAGAGTAGCTCGAAACAAGCGACCTCTAATCCGTTCACCCAAGGCAAAAAGCGGCTTCCAGGCACCGAAGCCTGTTATGATAGCCACATAACCACATCCACGCCCATCTAAAAGGCAGATGAATACCTAACACTACCTACCTACCGAACGTCGCTGCGCACCACCGCCAGCAAGCCATAATTACACAACATCTAGACTGTCAGTACTGGAGGGGAGAGGTGCCTTCTTACTTATTACGCCAAGGAACATTACTGGAATACCCGGAAAAGGGGCAAAGCGGCCGGCGGAGGCAACGTATATCACACGTATATATAGTCATACATATAGTTATGGAGTTTGGGATTGAAACCGTAGGGTCTACGGGACCGATTAGGTACACATTGAATAAATATGTTCTCAAGTATAAAGATATAGACACATCTTCATTGAGATATGATAAGTTTGATCTTTTAACCGTTCGTAAAGTGGTATGTTTTAAGTCGACAACTACCTCTTGAGTGGGGTGGGTGCTTTTGTTGTTTCCAAGACGGCGGTAAGACATCGGAACTCAACTCGAGTGATTGGCAACTAATCATCAAGCACCCACTTAGGTATATAAGTATTAACAGCCTCTCGATTTTTCACATACGACCATAGGATCTGGAAAGCTCGGGATCCCGTCCGCTCTCCCCTTCGATAAACCGGATACCGCCGGATTAGTAGTTGGGTCGGTGACGACCAGCGAATCCCCGGTGTTGTATGTTTTTTTCTTTTTCTTTCCTTCTCTTGTTTTCTTTTTGTTTGTTGTTCTTTTTGAAGTCTTGAGTCAGTTATTAAAGCGGAGTGTATACTTGAGTCTCGTCAGTGCCCCAGGATCTAGTGTTCCTGTAAGTGGCAGTAGACTGTGTCCTTACAGTTCCGTTTAGTACAAGGTTTCCTTAGAAAAGAGAGATTGGTTTGTACAATGCTAATTTTACCATCTATTACTATTCATAACTTCAAGCACTAATCTTGAGACATATCCTAATATATTAATAAACGACGTTGACCTAGAACAGTTATGCCAAGTCCAAAGGTTATTCTCTTTCAGTTTTAAGCCCACCCGAAACTAGACCATCTCTTGAATGCTCTTCTGCATACTGTCGTATCAAATTGGCCACAGCGAAATATTTCCTTCTTTCTGCGTCTTCAATTGCTCCATCAAAGCCAGTCTGCCCCCGGATACCACTAAGAGCTCCAACGTTTAAGAGAAGGCGAACTATATCAAGCCTTCCATTCATGACCGCCATGTCTAGCGCATTATACCCACATAGATTAGGCGTATTGACCACAGCCCCCCCATATATCAATAAAAGCACGACTTCCATATTGCCTTGCTCGACAGCAATCTCCAAGGCCGTACGTCCATAATACATGCTTCCAGGGGCGTTAATATATGCGCCTTTCTCGATCAAGAGTTGTATAAGACCGACTCTCTTCGCTTCTTCCCCTGCTGGAACTTCCTTCCAATCACATGCGGCTTGGAGGGCCGTCTTCCCATCCATTTCAGCTGCTTCTTGGTCGATGTCGGCACCTTTTTGTAGCAGCTTTTCAACCAAAGCTTTATCACCTTGGTATGCTGCATATTGAATAAGACTCCCCGTAAACCCACAACCTAGAACTTTGACGTATGTGTTAAGATTCATACAAGACTCTAGGAGCCTTTCGATTAACTCGGGCGGTCCTCTATAATAAATCAAATTTGGCAGTGCAAGCGCATCTTGAACTAGTAAGTCGTGCTTGAAGAGCAGTTCGAGTACCGCAATCTTTTCTCTTCGGGTTTCGGCTTGCTTTTCATTGGGGTGATGCTGTTTTCGTGAATAGAGACAAGCTTCCCATAGACTTTCGCCAAAGTTACCAAGGGGTAGCAGGGGTAGCAGGTCGTGGGGACGTAATTTTGGCAGAAATAGCTCCATCATATTAAATAGAGAGCCATTCGCCTCATACTCCCGGAGGAGATTGTACAAGAATCGGAAAGAATTTGGGTCGTCTGGATGATACTTTAAAGCCGCACCGCAGTCGACCAAGTATCTCAGCATTTCGCAACTCGCCGAATCAGAAAGCTTCCGATGTCCACAATGCCGCTTCCAACATCTGGGACAACATGTGTTGCTCGAGCTTGCTAATGAAATGACACTCCGTTGTAGACTAGGAACCTCTGCGTTGATGTCCACCCCTGAGTCTAACAGCCACTTAACTGCATCGTAGTTGTCAAACCGCGCAGCTAAAACTAATGCTGTAGCGCCATACTGTCCCGCATCGGCGCCAACTCTGACAAGAGCTTCCAATATATCGATTCCCTCTTTCCGAACACCAGCCGCCAAGACCTCCGAATTTATGGTTGCCCCTGATTGAAGGATTAGCCTCAAGACCACATCAAAGCTCTCTCCAAGGCGATGAGCATCCGGTTTTAAGACTAGGTATTTGAGGAGATCGTGAATATCAAAACTATAATATTCGGATTTATAGTGCTCTAACGAAGAAAGGTTTGGATCCACGCCGGATTCAAGAAGTCCTCGAATAACGTCTATGTTGGTGCGCACGTCCTCTATATCAATGATTTCATCATCTATGACTTGTTGAAGGAGAACCCACTCCAAGAATACCTCCGCCGTGAGATCGGATTCTGCCGATCGCAAGTATACGTATTGACGAAGGTGTTCCTTGCCTAGCAACGCCAAACTACATATCTTTGGTCGAAAACTGCGTCCTGTGGTGATACTGCTATATGGAGCGAGTTCTTTGAATAGACTTTTGTCCCAGTAACGGGTTTTTTCGAAGGTAGTAAGACACCATTCCTCAGGGACATCGTATACCTGATTGTCGGAAGTGAGGCGCGTGGCCCACGGTAAGTCGACATTTGCACCGCAATCCAAAAACATTTTTAGTATTAGACGTTGGGCATCATTCTTGAGATTAATACTGGCTGTAGTGAACTCATCGCTTCTGGTTCCCTTGGGAAAGCTTGGTAAGTTGGCATAATTTCGGTTTGTAGGAATGCAAAGTTCGCCCTTTGCTAAGGTGAAGAGAAGTATCTGAAAATTCGACGCGTTACGTATGATCTTGCGATTTACATCACACGCTCCTATAAGCAACTTTACACACTCTATATTACCAGAAGCCGCGGCTTCAATGATAACGGGGTGGTCTCTGCCACTTACAACAGCATCAGCACGAATGCCGAAGTCGAGTAGATCTTGGACGACATCAAGAGCATTCATAGAGGCAGCGAAAGAGAGGTATAAAGCCCCTTTAGAGAGAATCCATTCCTTATGCCGGAGCCCAGCTTTTATCAATGAAGTGAATGTATCGTAGTAGCTAGATATACCGGCACATTCAATCAAGTGTTCCCATATAATCCTATGGATAGGGAGATTTTGTTGAAACAATGTACTCAGAACTTTTTTCGGTATCTGGCTGGAGAGAAGTTGGATAGTCCCGGTAAATATATCGTGTTGGCGGCCACACGGTTTGTGATGGAGATTATTAGAAGTTAAATAAACCACTTTGGCCAAGAGGTGATAAGCATGGATATCTGGTGTAAGTGCCGAAGATGAGGGCATAGTGCTCAAGAAATGCAATCTGGTGGAAGGGACTGCGGCTCTCCAGATCCTAAATGAATCCATTTCAAGTCTGGTGTCAATGAGACTCCTCAAAGAGTTAAGGTCCAACGGGAGGTTTGTGTCGCTATCGTGTGGAAACATTGCAGTCGCTGTTATATCTATTAGTCGATGTCCTAGGGTATAATAATAAACAGAGTTTCAGATACATACAAAGCATTCTGTAGTTGAATTTGATCCATGGAATGCCATTCAGGGCACTGTCAATGCCTACTCTGGTAGATACCGGTAAGTCTGCGTCTAGTGCTCCAACAAGAGCTGTAGGTGAAAAGGCTGCCGGCTGGGGGGAGGAGCCGGTTAGGGAGCCCGTTAATTGTTGAAGATTTGTTGGTGGAGAATGGGACATCCGAGACCCGCCAAGTGATGGTGAGGGTGAGGGTGGTGGTGATGGTGTCCTCAAAACAACATCCATCGGGAGCGTAGCATCACCATCTAGGATATGTTAGCCCCGTGTATCCTACCATTGTATACATTGACGTTAGGTCTCTATTCAGGATATATTACTCACCTTGACCTGTATCCGGCAAAGGCCCCGACCTTTTAGTCTCCTTTATCACGTCCTTCCATATAATCTTCCTAGTATTATGATAAACCACAGTTGGTATATCTTTTCTGTGAAGAAGGTAGTTTCGGTATATTCTCGGCCAGTCGCCTTTCTTGAGCCTCTTGCTTAATTTAAGCTTATTCCGAATGATTTTTTGGAAAGCTTTTTTGCTATTGATCTTGATTAAGGAACCAGCTAGAGACCAATAAGACTAGGTAGATACCTACGTGATGTGTGGGCACCCGTATTCCCTCTCCATGGTTTCCATTACATCTTCGGCGGTTTTATTTTCGACCACGTAGAGACGCTCGATGGTAAATTTATTCTGTAGCCATATATCCCCCGTAGCACCCTGAGATGGACCCCCGAACGGTGGCATTGTCGGGATTCCAGATGAGACATCTAGAACAAAGGACGTGTTCAGTATGTATTATAGACACAGGCTCTCGTAGATAGATTGGAATTCCTTGCGGGACAACGAAGTTATTTTAGTTCCACCTCGTGACAGGCATGATTTCAATATTATTTTTAATAGAGTAGGTAAACAGAATTGCGATGAAAGGAATCAAGTCAGGATGCCCATTCAAAGGTGGCTGTTGTTCGTGGTTAAAAAGGCTGTGAAGTAAGCACATGGGTATTTGGGTATTTGAGTATTTGAGTATTTGAAGAAGAAAGTTGCAATTTAAATCGATAGAGGTTCTGGGAAGGCACCTAACATATGTAAAGTAATTTGGGTATCCCAGGTTGGAAACAACATTATGCATACCTAGGTAGGTACCTATAGATAATTATAGATACAGGCAAGCGCCGAGTGCACAGGTACGTAGGTACTACTAGGTTCAGCTGAGGTTGTTGGTAATGCAGACCCAAGTTGTTTAAAACTTCCCCTTATGTACCTACCTCCTTCCACAATCCCCTTCTCTATAACAGGAAGCAACCCCCCAATAGCCCGAAGTTTACACAATCGACCTTACGTACTTGTCAAGCCGCACCACCACACAATAGTCTATTAAAATGTCAAGAGTAACCCCATATATACTAGTTGTGCACCCAATCAAATCACGTAAAAGACTAAACACGGGCCACATCTTGCTTAAAGTTACTTTCCTATTTAAGCCATGGAAAAGATTCGACACAATAACCCCTTGGTAAAAACTCGAGCATATAATCTCCTTCCATAATCTCCTTCCATAATACCCGGGTTATTGTGTCAGGCCAAGTTAAGGATATTTCTTAATTAAGCAATTCGTCTGTGCACATCGCTAGTACTTGAACCCACAAGCCTTTTTTAAAAGTCGGGCTCTTATAGTCTCTTACACGAAAAAGCCTTCGGTTTCTCTTTTCCTTATAGTTTTCGAGGCCAACGTCGTGTACAGTTAATTCAATTAAACAACCCCATTAAAATATGATTGGACACGTTATTATACTGAATTGGTTATGTGGCATGCTGGTTAATAGCTAAAGACTGTCCCTTCCAAAACCTCACTTCCAAAATTTCCCCTTCCCGAAATCCCCCCTTTTATAATCTCTATACCTTTAAGGAACGTATAAGTAAGCCCTCCTTTCCGTCTCATGGAAAGTTTACTAGTATGCTTCAAATATATCCAGTTCTTCTTCTTCCACACCACTCATCAAAGATACTGTTGATTTTGCCTATAATGACGTTATCAGACGATACAATTGTTGGAATCGTTTCCATACTCATCATGTGCATCGTCGCAGGTCTCCCATACCTCCCAAGACTCATTCGTCGTCGTAACGCTGAATCACTACAAGAAACCCCGATCAATTACGATCCGTTTGTCACGTCGTCTGCACTCGAATCTGTGACATTCTACGCCACCGTAAGTGATCTAACCTACCTATAACGATCCGCTCATAGCTAATATTTATCGTCTACGGAAAGAGCGTAAGGGTCGATACGTTCACGCGTTGGTCATCCAGTAAACCAGGTCCTCCCTGGACCGTCTCTGATCACGGATCGGGACTCGATTCCTCCTCTACGTTGACTTTCTCAGATGACACTTTACCATAGCGAAGTATGATCAAGCTGTTTACATTGGTAGATATTATATATGTACCTAATATATAAATGATAACTTGGCTAACCAACCGGTAGGGTTAGGGAGGATATTTGTACCCTAGCCCGATAGGATATTAGGAGATGACAGAAGTACTTAACTTAGAGACGTCTGCAACTTATACGACGATGTTTCGATGGCTGGCAACCCCACAATTACACTGGAGGCTGAGTCCTACCAAGCCTTCGTGTCACTATCCCCCTCCCCCACTCTCCGTTCAACTTTCATGACCGTTTCCTTCAAACTGGTCTTCGGTCTGTTTATATCGGCCCCTAGTCTGTCCTAGGGAGAAATCCCATTTCCCAGGCCAGCAGACTACCTAAAATGACGGATAGGTTTTATTTCTTTTATGTAGCGAATATCATATAACGGGGTAGTCTTTATTCCCCCTTTTACGGGGACGTTAATATCTATGTACCTTTAGAACTTATACATTGTATCATGACAACATTTAGATTATATTATTATATAAAAGTAGCTGCTAAACCACATGCAGCTTTATATAACAAAATACTCATATAATTTAACATTGACAAGTTAAAATAACTAATGTATTAATACTTTATTATGTTCTTTGCTTACTCGATACACGAGGGCAACCATATGTAAACCGACATACTATAATCTCAGGAGTCAGGCAAGCAAGTAAGTGTCAAATAAGCACAACAACACTAAGAAAAGACATTTTTATAAAGCTTTTCATACGGTTGATGAGTTAGATCAACAACCAAGATTTATATAAGGTGGATGTAATTATTCTAAACCGTCACACACGCAACTCACTTATTTTCAACGAAACTACAAGGCGCACACAAAATTTATTTGACGACAACGCAGGACGTATTCCTCCTAAATTATCGCATTATGAATTTTACGCATCACTTGACTCCGAACATCCTCCCTATCCAGCACCCATACCTTAACTAATCAAAACTCATTCACTACCTAGGTTAGGCCATTTAGCACCTTTACCTCTTCAGAGTCTTCTGCTTCTCAGCCGCAACCCTCTGGCCTTTACCCTCAACTAGCAGACCCTTCCTCCTCCTTACGCCGTCCATATATCTCTTCGCAACGTTTTCCTTATCGGCAAGCTCACCTAGATCCTCGAGGTCATCTTCGGTGAAGGGCTGCCAGAACGGGTCCTCATCAACCAGAATGTCGAACCCTTGGAAGATGAGTTGCGGCTGCGCGGCACCCGACGTGCGCTTGCGCATCTCCTCCGCGAACCCGAATGATTCCGCCACGGGGATCGTTGATTGGATGGTGAAGAACGGCGTGCCTTCTTTCATCTGTTCTGAGAGAACGCGGCCGCGGCGCCGCGTAATGACATCGTATACGCGTCCAAGGACCTCAGCTATGATTGACGTTAGTATATTGTCTAGAGCAAACAGGAATGGGATAAAATATGAAGAAAACCTTTTTTATTTTGGAAAGAAGAACTTACTGCTTGCCTGGATCTCGCATGAATACATAGCGAGCATTAGGCGTGGAGACCAATCCAAGAAGCCCTGGCGAATAGACTGCTGGACCATCTTGATGACCTCGCCTGTAAGCCGGCCAAGACGATCCCGTGCAGATGCCTCCTCATCCGCTGGCGCGACAGTCACGTCTTCAATTATGACAGCTACACCTTGTACAGGCTCGTTACATAACGGACCTTGGTTCATGGCCAGTTGGAACGCATATGTAACCTTGTCACATAGATGTGCAGCCTTGAGTGTCTCGTCTGCCTTTGGGCTGCTGTCATCCGCTTGCTTCTCCGGAGCGAACACCTTGGGGAAATAGCTATCTTTAGTTGCGTCGATGAGTAGATTTGGACCCGTTCGCTTCGGTCCGAAAGCTGTTATCTTGTCGACGACACCTTTCCACCCCTCACGTCCTTTGCCACTCTCCAAATTCGCCTGTAGTTGCTTTTTCAGCTCGTCGAGAGATATGCTTTTGCCTTCGAGTAGATCATCATCATCATCCTCGATTTTCTGTTCTCCGTCGATTCCATTCTCTTGTTCGGGTTCCTCTAGCGCATTTCGTTCTGAGTAGAGACGCTTGATAGCGCCTGGGTTTTTGAGGAGGAACTCGGTAACGTTTTCGGGTAATGGCCGTACTCGAATTGTGATGCTGACCTGTTTCGAGTTCGTGACGCCAATAACAACGCCGCGTCCCAATTCCTTATTTGCTGGTGGTCTCATTTCCTCCGCGCGCACAATCGTCTCTCTATACGGTACGATAGGCGTACCGGCCTGAATATCGCACCTTGCAAATCTCTCCTTCAGATCCGTCAGACACCTTTCCAGATGTAGTTCACCAGCCGTAAGCAGAACATGTTCGCCGCTTTCGAATTGCTCGTACTCTGCACACGGATCGCTCTTCACAAGCAGCTTGAGACCCTCGATCATCTTATCCAGATCGGCTGGATTAACCGGTTCAAGGGCAACTCGCACGATAGGTTTTCCCGCCATGTTGACACCCGCTAAATTGACGGAACCTTCCAATTGGCTACATAGTGTTCCCGATTTTAAGATATGACCGTCGAGGCCGGCAATGCCGAAAACGACACCAGCCGGGACGGAATCAAGCGATTCCAAGTTGCGGCCCATGAGCATGTATAGAGCCGTTACAGTCACCTTCTGAGGCTCAGGGGCCGCGTGGGGATTTGCGGGGGAGAACTTTGGTGGCAGGACGTAAAGTGAGTCTCCGACAGATAGAGTACCTGAATATATCCGTGCAAACCCTATCAAATGCTCTGGGTCGATCTTTTTCTCCTCTTCGGGTACGAAGTCATCTAAATTCGCACTATCGAGAGCCGTGCTAAGGGAATCCACTCCGTTGCTTTCTGCCGCCTGAGCACGAGCGAATTCCGCCCGTTTTTTCCTGGCCAGTTCCCTGGCTTCCTCGGCGCTGAGCTGATTAGTCCGCCTCTTATTCTCCGGAAGTTCGCTTTCGGGTATAGAAACCATCTTGCTAACGTATGCAACCATGGGGTCTGACTTTGACGTTTTGAAATTCACCATCGCATCCTTAACCGGTGGATCGATGTGAGATGACCCGGGAGAGTATTCTAACAACTCGGGCAAACGTTCAGCCTGGGCCACTTTTGGAGACGGCAGAGACTCGACGACAGACACTAAAAGAGCTGTTGATAGTGGTAGCCATGATGAAAAAACCGTTGTAAGTAGTAGTCTGGGATCTCGCGACCTGGCAATATGCGGCGCTATTGTGATATTTAACGATTTTGTTATCTTCTCGAGCAGAGCCGGATCGCTATATCATAGTTAGCGTATCGCTTCTCAATCCGAGACTTATAAGTCGAGATTTTTGAAACTTTTAATAGCTTTGGGCAATGAAGTATCTCAATGCTTGAATAGGAGACGAAATGAATAGTATTAATGAAAAAAAAAACCAGAAAGAAAATCGACTTACCCCTTTCCATGATCTCCACCAGTAGTTGCTTGATATACGGCCCAAACTTGCTCGAGCACAAGCTGGACAAACATAGGCTTTAAATTACGGCCCTTCAGATGTTTTCGGCCAAGAACCTTCTTAGTCTTCGGATCTAAGTAGAAATCGCCCCATAACACCTTTTCCATAATACTTCGCTTAATGCCGAGCTTCTTCTCGTATAAGCTGGCGAATTGTCGCACGGTAAAGGCCCAGCCATCAATGGCGCTGCTAAATATGACGTTATTCTTCTCAGGGGCGAAATATAGTTCTTCGTCGTCTCGTTCCTCGAATTGTAGATCGCCCGTTTCGCTCTCGATATCTCCGAGTTTCACCTCTCTTGCAGCAACTGCGGCAACTTTCTCGTCTATTCGTTCTCGCCAGTTCAGATCCTCCTCCATACGTTCTCCCTGGAAGAAACTTCCTAAAACGGCATTCACCTGTTCTAGAAGCTTGCTAAGGTGGATGTAAGCTTCACCTGGAGTCATTTTCCACTCGGTAACCAGTCGATCTATCTTGTTGAAAACCAGAAGAGGTTTTAATTTCTCCATCCACGCCTGGCGGAGAACTGTGACTGTTTGACTACAAACGCCCTCGACAGCGTCGACCAGCACAACAGCACCATCGCATAATCTTGATGCAGTTGACACTTCGCTACTGAAATCAATGTGTCCGGGTGAGTCTATTAGGTTGATTAAGTATTCCTTAGGTACGGGTGTAGCATCCGGAGCAGGTCTTCGGAGCATAGAGAAGTATAGGGAGATAGCGGAAGATTCCATAGTGATACCCCTGATTTGCTCATCGGGTCGTGAGTCAAGATACCGGATCTTGCCGGCAAGCTTTGGCGAAATGATGCCATTTGTAGCAAGGAGGGCGTCTGTTAAGGACGTCTTGCCATGGTCAACATGAGCTAGGATACAGATCTGAGATATGTCAGTCAAATGAGCACTAACAGACTCAGAATGAGGGGACGAGTACATTTCTTATATCATCCGCATGTCGCTGTAGAGCAGCTAATTTCTCCGGAGTGACGACGGGCATGTTGACGGTGTTGTGTTTTCAAAATGAGAAGATATGAAGATATGAAGATATGAAGTAGATGAAGTCGGTACTGGAGACCATCAAAATAAGCTCAGGTAGTTGGTTATAACTAAATAAATAGCTCCGACGGGGAGGTTGACGAAACAACAAAAGTACCTAGGTACCTACCTAGGTATTTATATCGTTTAGGTGGTGAAGTGACTTAGGTTAGGTAGTTATCTTTGGTTGCAGTAACGTTTAAGTATCCACAAGTCTGACTGGCTGGATTCTACCAATTCTACCAATTCTAAGCTTATAGTGGCTTTTGTTGTGGGGTTTCTGTAACGAGGTAGTCACTATGAATCATAGTTGTATAATTTAAGATCCAAGCTTCGTCTTCCTGCCCGGTATGCCGGTTTATCTATACTATGACGTTTCATAGCTTCCCTTTGCATTTCTAATTGCCGTCTAGGTACCTCCTAAGACTTCCTTTGCTGATAGCGGGGCAAAGAATATCGATAAGCGTAGAGATTCAACTGCCCCGCGGCCCCGCCAAAATTTGATTCTGCAAGTGCAAGTGCAAAAGGAGGGGCAAAGCCCAAGCGCAAGGGCCACATTGAGAAGCCCTAATCCGCCAAAACTTCGGTTCTTTTTTTCCAGTTAATCCTTCTCCAGATCTTTTCAATACAACAAGGGCCAAAAAATTGCGACGAGCCCCTCCACGGCTACGATCCCCACGATACTATTCGCGACATCGTCCTTGTGCCACACCACATTTCCACGATGAGCGGACTAAGAAACGGTACCGCGCCTGTGCGCACCATCGAGGATGACAGCGATGTCGAGGAGGAAGCCCTTGTGGCTGACTACCAAGAGCAGGTCCAGTATGAAGATGGTATGGAAGAATTGGAGCAGGTCAATTCTTTGACCATGGCCCAGCAGACCGATGATATCCAGTCCAGACTCGTAGCTGCTGCTCAACCCTTGGACTTCTCTGCCCCTCTCGAAGTCAAATTCCAAAGCTACGATTCTTACTGCAACCTATTCCACTTCATCCTTAACTCGGATGGTCCCGTTGATTTGGAACCTCCCTCGGTAAGTTGTCCTAGCTTCATCATATATAAATAACCAAGACGGTTGATCGGTGTTCTGACAATACTTTATATAGCACTACTGGGCCTGGGATGTCATCGACGAGTTCATCTACCAGTTCAACAGCTTCTCCTCTTACCGACTAAGAATTGCAAGACAAGCGAGAGATAATGAGGAAGAGAGACAGATTCTACGCGAGAACCCCAACACATGGGGCTGCTATAGTGTGCTCAACGTACTGTACTCTCTGATCCAGCGATCGCAAATTACCGAGCAGTTGGCCGCCATGAAGCGCAATGAGGATCCCGCCGCCGTCGCTGGAGACTACGGCTCCAAGACCCTATACCGAATGCTCGGATATTTCTCTATCATCGGACTGCTACGCGTCCACTGCCTCCTGGGAGATTTCAGCCTAGCGCTGAAGACCCTCGATGACATCGAGCTTAACAAGAAGGCCATGTTTGCACGTGTCATGGCCGCCCATTTCACGACCTACTACTACGTAGGCTTCTCCTACATGATGATGCATCGATATGCCGATGCCATCCGCATGTTCAGCCACATTCTTGTCTACGTATCTCGCACCAAGAACTTCCAGAAGAACGCCCAATACGATTCGATCACCAAGAAGAATGATCAGATGTACGCTCTCATTGCCATCTGCGTGGCCTTCCAGCCGACCCGTCTCGACGACACCATCCACACCGCTCTGAGGGAGAAGTACGGAGACCAGCTGCTCAAGCTACAGCGAGGTGGCCCCGAGTCTCTACCGATCTTCGAGGAGCTATTCAAGGCTGCCTGCCCCAAGTTCATCTCGCCGGTTCCCCCTGACTTCGATAACCCCGAGGCCAATGTGGACCCGATCGATCACCACCTCTCCATCTTCATGGATGAGGTCAAGACTAACATGTGGAACCCTACCGTAAAATCTTACCTACGCCTCTACACGACTATGGATCTTAAGAAGCTCGCTGGGTTCCTAGAGGTGCAGCCGGAAGAGCTACGCTCTTGGCTACTAGTCAACAAGCAGCGCACTAAGCAGCTGCGGTGGACCGACCATGCCCTACTAGAAGGAGAATGGGTCAACGTGAGCGACCTGGACTACGCTCTGCAAGGAGTAAGTTTTTTTTGCCGCCTCAAGGATCCAGCCTTACATAGGGCCATCCAACTTTAACCGTACCAGAGCACTAACAGAAACCTATAGGATCTAATTCACATCTCGGAAGCCAAGGTTGGGCGCAAGTTGGTGGACTGGTACCTCCGCAACCTGTCACGGACGTACAACTAAGACCATCAAAGCAAGATGTTCTCAAGGCCAAAGGGTTAGAAAGGGGAACGTAAGGGGGACGGGTCCTCCCACAGGTTTCGTCTCCAGTTTGCATTGCATAGGCGTAATGGGATATTTGTATGTCACTCTCTCCGACTACGGGAGACAGGCGGGCTGACAGGCAAAAGAGTAACCGGCGAAAAGAAAGATATCGGCTGGTTTATACGTAGAAGACGAACGGGGGCTACCCGCCCAGTTTGTCTTTTTATTTTCAAGTCTCATGAATAGATATGGTAATCAAATGACTGATCAACTTACTCCTTTGACTCGTATATGCTTTTTTATCCCCTGCAGTGTCGTAGTTTAGACGATTGGAGTTTTTCTTCTACATAGGTCTGCACATAATATGATGTGCAGAATGTGCAGATCTACATAGATCATGAGGTGGAAGAGCTTTTTTCTTCAATACCAACGCCAAGACCCGGGTTCGGCGTCTATGTGTAATATATATACCGCACATATGCGGGCAGAAGGCATCGCAGTGCAATATAGGTAGTATACGCGAGTAACGGAGGGTCTAACGGCGTGCAGTGCGGCGCTTTGGGGTGGTATACATAGAGTTGAAGGTAGTGGTGGTGGTGGTAGTAGTAGTAGCAATGCCGGTGATGGCTCGACGTTGCAGCACAGGTTGTGCAGGGAGTGCGAGTGATCCGCAGCCTTTCGGACTAGGGGGTCTCAGCCGCCTTGGCTACCTACCTACCTACTTACTAACCTAGGTTAAGCTATCGTCTATTATGTAGTTACGGAACGGGTCTGTGTTTTTTGTGTGTGTGTGTGTGTGTGTGTGTGTGTGTGTGTGTGTGTGTGTGTATACCTACATATATTCATTTATTCACACAACTACGTAGAATAGAGTCTTGGTATTGCCTGTTGCACGCTTACATACATGGTTGGTGAGTGGAAGTAAGTGGGTTAGGAGGCCTCCCAGCTAGGGCGCTCTGCGACTCGGCGGGCGGCGTTGCTGTTGGCAACGGGGGGCGGGCTCGAGTGCCAAGCGGCTAAGGAGGGGAGGAGGTAGGTCTGTCAGTCTTGGCCGCCGATAGATATGCCTACTTTGTGCCGTGTCGTCTCGCTAGCTCGGTGTGACAACGCGCGTAGCGCGCAGGGCTGAGGAAGGCCAAGAGCCTTGAGGTGGGCTGGCGGCGTTGTAGGACTGGCTAGGTTAGATACATAGATGCCTACCTACATAGATGTGTAGCCGAGTTGCGGCGTTTTGTGCGTTTGGACTTACATATACATACCTACCTAAGCTTAGGTAGTTGAGTATTATACCTATATAGATATATATATATATATATGTGTGTGTATGTAGGTAGATTTGTGCGTAGGGTGTAAGCTGTGTAGGTAGGGCTCTGTATACCTAATGCCTAATGCACTTACATGCCTACATTGCTGCTATCCGAAAAGGGGGAAGTGGGAGGGGACATGGCATGGCATGGCATAGCCATCTCCATCACGAACCGAACCCTCCTGTGTGTGAGGACCACCACATATACCCTAACCTAGGTCCTAAGCTGACCCGGTTTATACGAAGGAATGGTAGCGGGTGACCAGGTAGGATAGGATACGTAGTTAATATACCGCTCGTTTGCTGCAACTAACACACCATGCTCATAGAGCTGTCTAGATGCATAAAGAGCGAATCAGTACATACACCGTATCGTCGTCGCCGCAGTAGTGTAGTTCACGGGGTAGCTGAGTTGGGGACAGATGGTCACCTAGGTAGATATCAACTCTCACGTTTCGCACAGCCACCTCCCCGCGGAATCAGCGTGCCGAGTGTGACGATGAGGCGGGTAATCGGCAATCCCCTGGTACTATGTAGTCTGGACTTACCTACACTATGTAGAGAGACCCCGGATTTGGTATCGTCGTCGGCAAAGACAATTTCTACCTAGAGGGAGAGAGGTTTACATATTTGCGTGCTCCGCTAGACTACTATCCTAAGATGAATATGTAGAATAACCTCATAGGTTACATGTATGCGGTTTAACGCGACAAGACGATAACATGGGTCATGTGTGCGCCAGTCGATATACCGCCGCCGATCTCTCACGTATCTGGCATCTGGGGTGCCTGGTGCTTCTCGAGAATACGATTTTGTGGGTGGCACTGCTTGGGTAGGCATCTTGACGATGCCTCACGGGACTTTAGTCGGAGATATAGTGCCAGCAATAACATGGGGTCCCTACATACATAGGTAACCTAGTCTAATAGAGCTCCTCCCGCCTAGCAAGTTATAGACGACCTAATTCTTATTACCACTTACGCTGCTGATTCCCAAGCACCAAGGCCGTAGTCAATCAACCACATACCCGGAATACACACACGCTTACGCAGTCTCGCCCCTTACGTCTGTTTAAGGTAATTAGGCACATGGGGTGTGCGAACCTAGTGATAGCTGGGGTCGGTTCATCCATCCATCCATCCATCAATCCATTTGTTGCTCCAGATATGTACCATACCTATGTGCCGTGCTGTGATGTAAATCCGGGTTGAGCCAGGACAGGCCACTACTGCATCCCCGACCCCTCGGAAAGATGCAGCAGGTATTGTATTGGTTCGAAGCCATGCAATTGCTCGTCAGCAAGCATCTACAAGCCACTCGCCTTTTCCGGTAATGCTTTCTCGTGACACAGCTTCTACTACTATGTATACGACCAGGAACCCTCGGACGCCGGCTACTCACTCGCCAGTCGACCGCGCATGCAAATGTGGACTCCCGGGCGCCAGCGTGGAGACGATGGGAATTTTGCGTGGTGGACTGGGGCGGGCTAGCTAGGTAGCTACCTAGGCGGATATTCTCCGTGCGTGGTGCTAGCCCGCCCTTGATGCCTCAGGACGGGGAATGCTGCCTGGGCGATGGGTACGGCTAGTTGAGCATGTAGCAGCAGTAGTAGTTTGCGACTCTGATCCCGACAGTTCGTACCGCTTGCAGGTTCGAGGGGGTAGTATACTTCGACGATACCTGCGATAGTCGTTTTATGGCGGAGAAAAGTGACGCCTCCATACAAAGGCTTGGTTATGGAGTTCGGGTTGGCAAAGTCTCCGCTGCGGACTAATTAGTGGACGACGACGAGGCGAGAAACAGCTCAGCACACATAAAAAAATATGGCGTAGTGTTACCTATCTGACAGGAGTTGTAGTACGGGCTTCGAGTGCCTTCACACAAGAAATAGGAGAGAATAATGGACGACGAGGTTGGAGATTTAGGGAAGAGCATAGCATGTAAGAGTCAGAATGGTTTTTGCTCTTATATTTTATGAGATATAATAA